TGACGACACGCCAATTACCGTATGCATATTAAAGTTATTTGTAAGTTTCTGACAAAAATATGTACTTTAAAATAAGAAAAAAAATACACTTCCGAGTAACCGAGTACCATTTTTAGTATTCGATACTCGGACGTTCGATCCGGTTAAAACCGAATACTCGTTGACATCCCTAATATATATATATATATATATATATATATATATATATATATATATATATATATATATATATATATATTCACATGAATTAGTGCCGTCTGACTGCAAAATTCTCCCCATTATTTGTTGAGCATAAAGATACGGTTTTGTTTTCAAAGGGATTTTAAAGTTAAATTATACGTAAAAAAAAAAAAAAAGAGAAGTATTACTTGTTCACATATATTTGTCAAATCTATGGACAAGGATAAAACTTCTATATGAAAAGAAAAAAAGTCTATTGCTGTTACCTTCATTTTGACATTTAGGTATATCAACGACATTTTATCAAATAACAATATTCATGTTAATTCCCAAGTTGATTCGATATATGCAGCTGAAATCGAGAAGAAAAATGCCAAAGAATATGACACATCTTTTCATATTTGGATGTTTTACTAGAAGACGACTTTAATGGCAAACAAACAACAAAACTTTATGGTAAACAAGATGACTTCATCTCTTCTATCCTAAACTCCCCTCATTTATGTAGCAATAAACCATTATCACCTGCATATGGGGTCTAAGTCTCCCACTTGATTCGATACCAGGACCATTTTCTACGTACAAACAATATTTTTAAGTTGCCCGCGTGGCGCAGTGGTAGAGCGTCTGCTCTAGAGTCGCGGAGTAAGTAGTTAATCCTTACGTGGCGGGTTCGAATCCCACTGTGGGACGTGGAGACGGGTCCTTCGGATGAGACCATATAAATCGAGATTCCGTGTCGCAGTAGGTGCTAGTACCAAAAAGATCCCTCACTGCTCAATGGCCCAGAGTGCCGAGCATAGGTCAAAATTTGCAGCTCTTCGCCGGCAAGTGGTGGCATCTCCATATAAGTAAAGAAATTCTCGAGAGGGACGTTAAACAACAAACAAACAAAAACAATATCTAAAAGGAGGCAGTCTATTAAAGATAAGTTGATGTCACCAAAAAAAAAAAATCAATAATGTCGTTTAAAGTTAACATTCCGCAAATTCAATGGTCAGTACAATGACCTTGTTTTCAAATGCAATCTGTCGTTAGGACAAATGTGTCGCCTGAAGTCATTCAAATGAACTGTTAGGCCATTATTTTCAAAGTCAAGGCTTTTTGATATCATTGACAGCTGCTTTTCCAATAAAAATGGAAATCGTAAATTTACTTACCTTGTCATTGGTCATTTGCAAAATCATTTTGTTAAAAAACATTCTGATTGTACACACAAGTACTCTGAAGTTGATATTAAAAAGATGCTTGAGTTTCTGATTGACAATATCTATGTGGTTTTTGGAGACCAGGTCTTCCAACAATCTATTGGAATTCCCATGGGTACCAATTGCGCTCCGTTATTAGCAGACCTTTTTTTGTATTCATATGAAGCAGAATTTGTCCAAAATCTTGTACGTGAAAAGAAGAAAACACTTGCTGTGGCCTTCAACTCGACATTTAGATATATCGACGACGTATTGTCAATTAACAATGGCTATTTCCATTCTTATGTCGATACGATATATCCTTGTGAGCTTGAGATAAAAGATACCACAGAGTCTGACACATCTGTTTCATATTTCGATATTTCACTTGAAAAAGACGTTAATGGTAATCTAACAACCAAGCTTTATGATAAACGTGATGACTTTAACTTTTCAATCGTCAACTTCCCTTACTTATGCATCAATATACCTTCATGACCTGCATACGGGGTATATATCTCTCAGTTGATTCGATACGCACTAGCATGCTCTACGTATATACAATTTCTAAAACGAGGTAAATTATTGACAAACAAGTTGATGAAACAAGAATATCAGCTGTCTCGTTTAAAGTCATCATAAGTTCTATGGTCGATACAATGACCTTGTCAGCAAATACAATTTATCATTGAGTCAAATGCTGACTGACGTTTTTCATACTAATTGTTAGGCCATTATTTACACACTGAATTGTCGACGGATTTTTCCGTTATTTCCCGATCATGACAAGGAGCACACGGCGGGTGTGACCGGTCGGCAGGGGATGCTCACTCCTCCATGGCACCTGATCCCACCTCTGATGTTTGGAGGTCCGTGTTTGCTCTGCTCCTATTTTGTATTGTTTGATGGACTTTTGAGCCTGAATACTGCTCGTTATCTTCATATATTTCATTTCACACATTTTTATACACTGACTATGGATTTTCCAGTTTACCCGATCGATCATGACAAAGGACCCATGGCGGGTGTGACCAGTCGATATGGGATTCTCACTCCTCCATAGCACCTGATCCCCTCTGTTTTTAAATGTCCCCGTTTGCTCTGCTTACAATTTGTATTGTTTGATTGGACTATGAACTTGATTACTTACTGTTGGTTATCTTCACATTTCATTGCAAAAAGACGTCTTTGATTATACATGTATAACATTTGACTTATTCGGAGAGCCTACATGAATTTGATTAATAATGAGAAATTTTCTGTGAGTGTGTTTGTGCTTTTAATTTTACCTTGTTTTTAAGATAATAACACACATTGAATGTATCGTACAATTTATATAACGTTTTCCCCCAATTCAATGTCTTCAATCTAGAGAGTACTGAAAGAGTGTATACTAGGGTACAGAACATCAACCCCTGTTTTTTCTTCTTTCTTTGAAAGCATACTTGACTCACCTTTAATTGCTGTAGTAGATTTTTCTTGTTTCGAAAACAAAATCTAATAATTTAAAATTAAAACAAAAATATAAAAACCAAAAATTAAACAAGTGAAACAAAACAAACAAAAAAAAGTACAAAAATACAAAAGAGGACATTTTTAATACTTTCAGAACATTACCTGCAAAGAAGGGTACTGGGACAGATTGCAAAACAGGTGTGTAATAGGTAAGTATAGATCTATAGCATTATATACAAGTGTGTAGTAAGTAAGTACAGATCTCTATATACCATTATATACAAGTGTATAGTACGTAGGTACATATTTACACCATTACATACAAGTGTATAGTATGTAGGCACAGAACAATACAGTCATATACAAGTGTGAGTAGGTAGGTAGGGTTATATCTAATTATATTCAAGTGTATAGAACGTAAGTACATATCTATACCATTATATACAAGTGTGTGGTAGGTAGGTAAAGATATACAAGTGTGTAGTAGCTAGGTACAAATTTGTACCATTATATACAAGTGTGTAGTAGATACATATCTATACCATTATATACAAGTGTGTAGTAGATACAGATCTATACCATTATATACAAGTGTGTAGTAGATACAGATCTATACCATTATATACAAGTGTGTAGTAGATACAGATCTGTACCATTATATACAAGTGTGTATTAGATATAGATCTATCCCATTATATACAAGTGTGTAGTAGATACAGATCTATACCATTATATACAAGTGTGTAGTAGATACAGATCTGAACCATTATATACAAGTGTGTAGTAGATACAGGTCTGTACCATTATATACAAGTGTGAAGTAGATACAGATCTATACCATTATATACAAGTGTGTAGTAGATACAGATCTATATCATTGTATACAAGTGTGTAGTAGATACAGATCTATACCATTATATACAAGTGAGTAGTAGATACAGATCTATACCATTATATACAAGTGTGTAGTAGATACAGATCTATATCATTATATACAAGTGTGTTGCAGATACAGATCTGTACCATTATAATCAAGTGTGTAGTAGACACAGATCTGTACCATTATACACAAATATGTAGAAGGTAGATACAGATTTATACTATTATGAAGAAGAAGTCTCTAAAAACCAAACGGTTCGCACTGCAAAGTATATACAACTCATGTAGTGAAATCTTGAATAGTGTCAGTCCAAATTTACTGGCTTACTAGACAGGTATTGAGACAGAAGTTCATACTAGTTCCAAAATGAAGGTCAAAGTCAACATACAACATAACATTCAATATATTGCATACTTTTCATCTAGATTATATTTTAATTGAAGAGGAAAGTTATGGTTGGTTACCCACAACAGAGGTTCTAAATGAGGGGTCAAGGATTAGCTTGTTTCAAACGTGACAGTATGAAAAATTCTCATTTTTATTCACGTTTCATGTAGTTTATTGAAGTACTTTAATTATAAGAATAAGGCATGTAGCACAAATAATTGTGTTTAGTTTATCAAGGATGAAGTCAAATGTTAAGGTCACTGCAGTCAAACTTTTGAAAATGATCTTCTTCATGACAAACCAAAGATCAACATCACCAGTATATAGACCGAAGTTTGCCTTGTAAGCCGTCCAAAAATGACACTCACTTTCTGTTGATTTTTCTTAAAAATTTTAATTTTCCTTGCGCTTGATAACATTTCAATCGAAAAGTAAAAAGGATTAAATTTTATTTATCGATAACATTTTCTTTCTCTTGTGTGGGATGTTTGGAAAGATCGCGGAAATTAAAGCTTAAACCGATTTCAATTGTCTATTGCAAATACTCATGGTATTAACATTTCAATTTAATCCATATTCGTGTTTGGTTTATTAGATTGATTGTAAGATATTAATGGCAGTCCTAGAAAAAACCTTTTAGAGAATTTATAACTTCATCAACTTAAGTCAGAGAGTGGAAGAATGCTTTACAGCCAGAATAATGTTTCCAACAAAAAATATCAATTTTTTCAAGAGGAGTTTTTAACAAATTAAATAATATTATGAATACCTAAAATAAAAAAACAAAATGAAAATATCTTCTTTTATAAAAACGGGGTTGTTGCAAATTCCTCACATCGTTACGTCAGTAAAATGCCAGCAAAGACAAAAATACATAAAGATTGATTGATACTATATTATCTGTTACAGAAATGACAACATCAATAACCGCAGATTTATTGACAGATTCAACAAGTTCAGAATCAGCAACAGCAGAATTAACTGACTCAACAACACCAGCAACCGATAATAACTCAACAACAGATTCAGCCACATCATCACAGACAACAACAGATTCAGCCATTTCATCACAGACGACAACAGATGCAGCCACATCATCACAGATAGCAACAGATGCAACCACTACACAGGCAACAACAGATGCAGTCACGCCACAGACAACAACAGATGCAGTCACGCCACAGACAACAGCAGTTGCTTGTTTTGACTGTGAATGTGCAATAACTGTGGCAGGGATCACGGTGACTGGTCCGCGAAAGTTTAATTTAAGCAACAACAAAACCGTTATTTGTATTCTGGATGCAGTACAAAATCACAAATGGACGGTAAGTTAAGGACACAATGAATTGCACTTTTTATATATTTATTCCCATTTGCCCATTTCAAAATAAGAATAAATTTACTGAATGCGATCTTGTATAGAAAGTATTAAAAACTGTTTATCCTAGTTTATAGTCGTCATCACAAATAGTTGTGAAATGCATCTGGTCGCTCTAATAATGGAAATAGATTTGTTTTCTCTTTGTGGATATTTGTTAAATGCCAATAATATAGAACTGTATGTATATTTTTGCCCCCATAAAAGCTAAATTTTGAAAATCTCTTAGGGTATGTCATATGTCATAACATATTTGAAGTAAACAATGCAAATTGTACAACATTCAATTAAAATAAAAAAAAAACGCTCTCACATATTTTAACTCACAGATGCTTTCACGTTATGATATGCTAGGAATATTCAAGGTAGGTTTCAAATGATATTTTTAGGACAACATACTTAGACAACATACTTTGCCAAAAATTGCAGATATATTGACAACATAACATTAACTTTGTTTTAAGCCTGAACTTTGCATAATTCGACCCATATCTTAAAGTTTACAATACTGGCCCCAACTTCTTATTGCAGCCCGGAGGACCGGGCTGCTCTATACATGTAAGTATAATTGTTGGTATATGGGGATTGAGGTGGGAGAAGTTATTCAGAATTGAAGGTTTTCTAAACATTAAAAAGATTGTTAATCAGAATGTTCTTTCCCTTTATAAATTACGAGATACACAATATATTTACTTCCATAAAGTGAATCTATAAAAATATATATGTTTTTCATATTTAATATATAAAGTTGCTTATCATTTACTATCAAAAAAACGACAGGTCCCTTTTTTTAGAACATCGAATTTTACTTATCGCATAAAAACGTAAAAAAGTACTTTACACAGTTCGTGTTTTATATTCTTTAAGTGAAAGACATTTTTGAAAATAGGAGATGCATGTGTCTGGTTTCAAATTATATTTTATGCAGCCAACATTTACTTGAGGAATTGATAAAGTTTAAAAGGGTATCGTTTTTGTTCGATTTTCATCCGACTATAAGTTTTCAAAATATTCTCGACTATCGTCTCCATCATTTAGACGCATGCCTTTTTCACACATATCGAAGCGGTTTGATGATCAAGACTCATTTCGATTGTTTACTTTATTTATTTATTTCCCGGGCGACAATTGATGGTTACATCAATGTTTTCTTGTTTCTTTATTTGAAATAACACTATACTTCTCACCGCTCAGAACTAAATTCGTATCAAGCTTGATATAAAAACACACTCAGTCTAAATTGAGTATGTAGATTTTAATACCCAAAGTGTGATATTTTAATAGCATTGATTGGTATTGTTTTTTTTTTATTTAAAGTTTTTTTTGATATACAATAGGATTACATTTATTGCCATAACTACATCTGATAAAATTTGAATGAAGTTCAAGTGATTAATGTAAAACTTTCACTTTTATGCAAAAATGCAAAAAGGTCAAGTAAATTGTACTGTCGCTGAGTAATATGCACATTGACCCCAATTTTCTTCCCAAATTTGAGTTATGCTGTATGAGTAAATATTTGAAATATACTTCTCAAAGAATCCTTGATATAGTCCGTGTCAGGAGTGACATACCTAAAAATGTACTGAATTATATATATTATATGAAAAATTCAGACTTTATAAAAAGTATCATAGTTTGGAAGTAAACTATCGGCAATATTTGTTTCTGTGCCGTCACAAACTATCGTGATTTTCCGCTATTTTTAAGAGGACAAGTTGTACAGAATTTACAGTTCAATTTCGACTATATAGTTCACAGAGTGCAAACCTGCTCCATAATTATGTATTCACATTTTTCATTGATATAATCACTCTAAACATTACTTAAAAAGACTGAGTTGAGCTGACCTGCGCTTGGTGACTTTTAATCAAAATATCGATGTATCGACGTAAAATACACCTTTTTCTCTAAAAGTGATCTTTTTTTTTTTTAATTTAGATCATTTTCTTGACGTCATATCTTACAAAAGGAATCAGGGCTGATGAAAATATTTAATACTTTGAAGTCTGCCGATATCCACGTGGATTAAAATATAGTTAGAGATTTCTCCATCAATAATTTTTTAGGACAAATATTGGTCTTAATAGACCATATAGTCCATTGATTACAGCAAAGAAACGTTAAAGAGACACCGTGAAAAAAAAAAAAACGGGAAAATTGACAAAAGTAGAATTTTGTAAGACACATGGAAATTTTATTCAATCCTGAAAGTATTAGGATTCAGAAAATTACAGGTTTCAGAACCTAAAAAAATCTACTTTTATGTAAAGAAATACAAGTAAAATAATTCTAGTTTGCCCCAACACGAAAACATTGCTTCACTTCTTCCTCTTTAAGGTACGCATCCGCAGAAAAGTTGAAGAAGTAACCATGTTGTCAATTCCATAGATACAAATGTCTGATGACCGAGGATTTCATAGCACATTTCTTCAAATAACAATTACAGCTTCATTGCAGGTTATACAGAGGAGATTCTCCACCGGAAGTCAGAGTTTTGATCAAGATTGGATTGACTACGAAAACGGATTTGGGACTTTGGCGTCAGAATTTTGGATTGGTATAACTTTACATTAGTAGTGAAAACCTTTTCCATAAATAAATTGGATTTCTACTAACATGATTGATTATAAATAAATAAATAAATGATTATTACGTTATGAAAGTATCTGAAAAACAGATTCAAGTAGTAATTCTTGATTTTATTCAAAATATTTTTAATATTATACGCATTTCATAAAGTGATAAAGACGTAAATAAAAAATGACTTAAAAAGTGACTTAAATTCAGTCAAGGTTTGTCTCCTGCCGAATGTCCCAGTCTATATACATGGTAACTCAAAGATTTAATCTATGAAATACAGTAAGCACATGTCTACATCAACATTTTGTAATTGTTTTCTAAAAAGAAGTATATAAACAAGGGAAAATTAATTTGATCAACTTAAGTTTGTAATTAAAAGCAACTTTAATAATAAATAATAACAGTTATCTTGAATATATTTTAGGCAATAAATACATACATGAGCTGACATCTATCTACGGGAACACTCATCTACTCATTGAAATGGTTGCTGGTACTGGTAATATGGGTTTTGCCGAGTACACATTCTTTATCGATGATGCCATTCAGGATTACCGTCTACATGTCTCTAACTATGTAGGAAATAGGGGTAAGTCCGCATAGAATTATTAAACAGGAAAACTCCTTCAATCAGAATTTCTTGATCTTTACCAAAAACTCAATTTTTTTTTTTACTGTAGCACCCAAAGAAAGTTTTTATCTTACCAATTGACTGGGATTCTGTTTTTCCCGACTCTTCAATGTTTTTTTTTTTTTACCTTAAAAATATCTCAGACTGCTTAATTCCATATTATTATTATTCATCAGCGGTTTCAAGCAATTGAAAATGCTCGCACACATGTCGGTAAATTAACAAAGTAATGTATCTTCCCTTGCGATTTTCTTCCAGATTCATCATTGAAGATAGTACCTTTATAAAGAAAAAATTACAAAATCTCAAATATGTTTTAGGAACATCAAATATGCATGGTCTAGTTCAAAATAGATCAACACATATATTTCAGTATTAAAAAACAATAGGTGTTCAGCAACAATATAAATAGCATGTTTTGATAACTAAGTAGAATTTTAATTCTTTTAGTTCGACGGCAGTTCTAATCACCTAACAATATGTGGTGTAAATAGCAAAAGGTGTTATTGCAAGATGAAATATATGGAGATAACGAACAGTATTCAAGCTCAAAAGTCCATTAAACAATACAAAATAGGAGCAGAGCAAACACGGACCTCCAAACATCAGAGGTGGGATCAAGTACCATGGAGGAGTGAGCATCCCCTGCCGACCGGACACACCCGCCGTGTGCTCCTTGTCATGATCGGGAAATAACGGAAAAATCCGTCGACAATTCAGTGTGTAAATAATGGCCTAACAATTAGTATGAAAAACGTCAGTCAGCATTGGACTCAATGATAAATTGTATTTGCTGACAAGGTCATTGTATCGACCATAGAACTTACGAAATGATGACTTTAAACGGGACAGCTGAAATTCTTGTTTCATCAACTTGTTTGTCAATAATTTATCTCGTTTTAGAAATTGTATATACGTAGAGCATGCTCTTGCGTATCGAATCAACTGAGAGATATATACCCCGTACATGTATGCAGGTGATGAAGGTATATTGATGCATAAGTAAGGGAAGTTGACGATTGAAAAGTTAAAGTCATCACGTTTATCATAAAGCTTGGTTGTTAGATTACCATTTACGTCTTTTCCAAGTAAAATATCCAAATATGAAACAGATGTGTCAGACTCTGTGATATCACAGATCACTTTCAATCCAATAATTGAAATCATTGGATAATTTATGCATGAAAGGCAACTCATTACATTTTCTGTGAAATAAAAATGTAAATGCTCTCTTATAGGATTGAAATACACGAGACATTCTATGTTACAATGTCATTCCACTGACTTCAGATACAATGACGACCGCTGAAAATTTACATGCATGTTAGGCACTGTACACTTCAAATGGCTAAAATTAAATTCAGTTGCAAATATCGACGAGGATTAACACACTTAACTTTCAAAGTGTTGTCACAGAAAAAGCAGTTGGAAATGTAAACATCTAGAAATCAAAAGATACATATGCATGTAATTGTCATTCCTTTTAGGAGATCCATTAACTTCAACAGGAACTTGTACAGAATGCGCAGACGGAATGAAATTCACAACCAGAGATCGCGACAATGACATGCAGAATTTGAGGAACTGTGCAACATACAGCCGAGGTGGGTGGTGGCACAATGCGTGTCAAAGGTCGAACCTGAATGGACAATTCGGACAGTCCAGTTACGTATACGGACTAAACTGGGACGGATTCATGGACATATCTAGTGTTGAAATGAAAGTTCGGAAACCTTGACCGAAATTCTAGCATTTAATGTAACTGCTGCAAATATCTTTGGAAGCAAATTGAAGGCACAACCTATCATCAATTTAATATTTGACAACGTAGAAAATTTGATTTATATGTTGAGGCAAGTTAAAAAGCTCTAAGTTCCCGACGCAGTCATTGAACAGTTTATTTACATTTCTTTGAAAACTGACGGATAGAAAACTGGAGATGAAGAAGATTGAAAATCTTTTAAGTCTGGAAAAATATCCTTAGACACAAAGAAGAAATAATACAACAAAATACATACAAAACCAAAACACGTCCATAAAATTGCATTGTTATAATGCAGTTTTATGAAATCAAGTTAAAACTTAATTATTTTACCTTTTTTTACACGGAGAAAGTATTTTGGAAAGTCGGGCAAATTCATTTTAATATCATTCAGTTCAGTATCTATTTTATTTGAATTGTCCGAATGTTATTTATGCTTAAGTCATTGAGGGAGTCAGCAAAATTCCAGTTCTCCAAGAGAAAGCTATTTCCCGAGGCGAAGACTAATTGGTAATACTGAAAATTAAAATCCCTCAGTCAAAATTATGACCCATTGTTGGGCATCATCATTAAAGCTTACAAAGAACAAGTCTCAATAAGGCTTATCTGTGGTCCCCGGTTACTCGTCAAATTTCGAACATTTATTAAAAGATTTAAAAATTAAATTTTATTATTAACTAATGTCTTTATTATTTGAATCATTATCTGAAAATGTCAAACAATAGATAAAGGCAGGATACGAAGCTGCGTGTTGAAGATCGGGTCCTTTGATTTTCATGAATATCAAAAGAAATCAGTGACACGTACACACTTCAAAGCTTTCGTAAACACCGAACACAGGTTTGTTCAGAGTCGAGTTTGAAATATAATGTGTACATTATATGTGTAAAGGTTGAGTGAAAATATCTTTGTTGAACAATCTTGTGCTCTATGCTTTCTAATTAAAAATATTGTGATTTTGAATCTCTTCGCTGACTTCATTTACATGCGATTAACCTCTTTATGACCTGTTTAGAATCATAACAAGCCATGTGGATTTGTATCGTTACGGGTAATTGCCCCCAGTAAACGTGCTAGCTCTCAGCTGAAACGTACTCAGTTTTATATCTGTCAGCATGGACTTGTTTGGTTCATCTTGTTATATGCGTTTTATTGCCAAAGATTTGTAAACAGAAGATTGTATTTGTGTTTGATTGTGAATCTTGAACATACAATTCGTCTTTGAAAGGAAAAATGTCATATCAAGATATTCTTTTTATAGTATATAATCTAAATGTCTCCGCCCATTTCCATGTAATAGAGGAACCGTAGTCTGATCGGGGGAAAATGTTCCGGCATTTTTTAGTGCGATAGGTTTAAAACATTGGATTGTATTTTTTGATACGTTTAATTATTCATTATAAATACACAATGCTTTAATTAGAAATACTTCGTTATACACAACGAAAACAAACAAAATACCGTATGCTAATATTTAACCGGTAAACCAAGGGTGTAAAAAGGGACCACACAACTATACTTAAGTAGAATACTCCTTTCTGAATGAATTTCACCCAAAGGTTTCAAATTTGAAACTTTTCACTGTTAACCCAGTGATCTTCTGAATGATCTTGATTCAAAATGAGTTTTTTTTTCAGACTACTGGCAACAATTTACACATGCTTCAACCATTTTAAATCAAGGGTTTTAAATTTTTACCCCGGATACAATTCGGTGATAGATAGGCACACCCTCCTTAAACAATATGCTGTGTGTGTGGATTCAACATCAAAGATATTGGAGCAGGTGGAATGCCTTTGAGCAGTGAGGGATCTTTTTCATGCCAACATCTACTGCGACACGAGACCTCGGTTTATACGGTCTCATCCGAAGGACCGGTCTCCTTGTCCCGCAGTGGGATTCAAACCCGCTACGTAAGGATTAATTTCCTCCCTCCGCGACTCTGGAACAAATGTTCTAACCACTGGGCCACGCCGGCGACAATTATCCTTGATCATGACTAATGAAACAGTTTCCTAAAATAAATCTTTTCATAAAATCTTCTAAAAATTGCATTTATTCAAATGAAAGTCAATTTTCCTTTATTTAATTATTGGATGTTGTTTTTCCAGATGAGTGTAAAACAAAACAAGAGATGCAAGTCATTCTTCAGTAGTAAGCCAAGTAATGAGGTCATGAATGTGTTTGAGAAACATTAAAACACAGATCCCTTCTCAGGCGACTAGTAATTTTACGGTTTTTTTCCTTCTGAAATACGAACAATTGGGTGGGGATTCGGTTGTAAACAACTTTTCAAATTGTATGAATCTTCCGTAAAATCTTAGAATACATTAACAAGGAGAAAAAAAAAACAAATATCCAACTTCCCACTCAACTCCATTATTTACAAGGATCTTTTCTGCCTTGCTACCCATTGTCACTCTGGGTTTTTCGAGGTAGAAATATCAGTGTATGGGGTTGTGAATGAATGTGGGTCTTAAAATGGACTTGTTTCTTTAGAATATTTGCCGAGATACAGAATTATGAATTTTTTTGTTTTGTTTTGAATAAACTATCATCCGATTCATATGACATGTTTACTGTGTTTTCTGCATATCTTGCTAAATGAACAACATCATAATAAATTACTACTACATGTTCATACAAGTGAAAAAAAAAAATGTTTTATGAAATTATCTTAAAAATATAAAATACAACACTACTGTACTTTTCGAATTTAAAAAAAAAAACTCGTAAAAGGCTTCTGTCTTAAGTTTTATTATTTTTTCAGCCTTGAATAAAGATATTTACATCTTTTATTTATATTTTCCATCCGGAAAAAGAAGTGAATCCATATATCCCTCCGCTACAAACGTTGCCAACCCCAGGAAGAGATGAATGTGTGCGGATGTAGACGTCATCTCCATGGTTAAGGTAAGCCGTGATGAGGCCTGAAGCGGTGTGGATATCATGGATTTCTTGACCATCCGTCATAATATAGGAAAACTGGGAGCCATTAATGACAATTTCAGAGCGTACGTAACTATGGTAATCTGCTACCACTGTCCACGAAAACACATAGATGCCTTCCTGTGGAGCCATGAAGTGTCCACTGTATTTGTTATAACCTGAACCAGTGTTTGTTTTCACTTGGTCAAAGATGAAGGTGTGGCCAAGACTTGGATGTGGTATGCAACTGCTCATCACAGCAGTAAATGCAACGTCAGTCGAGAGCACTACAAGAAAATAAAAAGTTGCTTATTTTACATTTTTCTGTTAAAAGTAGTTCATTTACACGTATTTATGAAGCTTACTTTTTCTTAAGCTACATGTATGGTTAAATTAAATTTCTAGAGATTAAGAAAGAACAAAGACATGCACTAGTTTAATTAATAATTACCTGGTTGACTGTTTATAAGTCGCTTTACTTCTGTGGTTACCTTCGGATTTCGCTCACTCTGAAACTTTGTATTGTTAAAACTTGCCCAGGTATTCAGAATGTTGTCATGATTCTTATCCTTAACAAAAAACGTTTCTGCAAGTATTTTCATTTCTTGTCGAAGAGCTTTGATGTATTTGTCCTGTTTACGAATATGTTCCTCCAGTCTGGTGATTTTATCATCAGATTGCTTTTGTGCCATCATGACAAAGTTCTTAACCTTTTTCTCTATCACCTGTTCAATCCAGGAGCCTTCTGCATCTTCCTTCACCGCAAGGTATCCATTGATGATTGCACAAAATATTAATATTGTCTTCATTTCGAACATTTTTGGTAAATAATTCGAATGTGTTTGAGGCATCTCTTATCTATTTCTAAATTGTCTTGACAGGTTGTAGATAACTTCGATTGTAGAGTATGCCCAAGATTTCTCTGATTATCTAGTGGGAGGCCGTACGGCGTGTCCCTAATAAAGTTCATAAATGCTCGCCCTCTTGTTTTACACAAATATAAATCAGATAAATACGTTAGATTTTTGTTTTGCAGTGTATCAGATCATATGTGACTTAACAAAGTTTATGAAAATAAATCTTATATGTCATTTTTTTTATATATATATACCTCCATTAGATTGGGCCATTAAGTCCCCTGTATTGGGATCCTGCTGTAGAAAAAAACAGAGGTAAATACTAAAACGGAGAGCTTGTTTGGATTACTTGTCTCATTATTGTAAATCCTCTCCTTCGGCCCGTTCAGCCTAGTTCTACTCTATTCACCGCAAGATATCCATTTATGATTGCAGAAAGTATGAATTTATGTTGTCTTCGTTTTGAAGAGTTTTGTTTAAAACTTCGAACGCAACTAAGATACTTATCAATTTCTCATCTATCTAAACGGGCTGCAACATATGGAATAAGAATAAGATAGAAGTATATGTCCATATTTTCTGATGATCTAGTAAGAGCACTTTATGGACTGTGCATAAAGAAGTTCACAACATATGCTTTGTTCTAGAGACATTAACTGTATGATTATACATAAAAATCAATAAACTTTACAAACTGTATTAGATTCCTCTGCTGTAGTATAACAAAGGTAAATACTATACTCTTGATTTAATGCACCTAGTAAGTCTCAAGTACTAAAATATCTTTGCTCTTTGGCCTGTACAGTCTATAGTAAAAATTTATGACGGTTTTTGAATAATCCCAATGCATGTTCAACTATTCATTTCTAAATGTATCAATGAATACTTTGATGAAATTTTCAATGTCTGCACTTTTTAGCAAATGAACAAAAAATAATGATAATAATAATAAGCAATGTCAACCGAAATCGTATAGTTTGAGATATCTAAGACTATTTGATGACACTATATAGATCACATAAGGATAATTAATAAAGATTTCAAAGATTTATCTCAAGACTGAAAAGATTTACAGGATGCCAGAATAATGATGTTATACAGAAATCCAGGGATTTATAAGGTAGGTACATGTATATAGAAGTGTCTGGGTGAAATATTGTTCCATGGTGTGATTGACTGATTAATCGATTGTTGTTTAACGTCCCATTCGGGCTTTAAAGTTAGACCTAAACTCGGCATTCAGGGTCATTGAGCAGTAAGGGTTCTTATTGTGCCAACGCCTACCGTGACACGGGACCTCGATTTTTAAGGTTTCATCCGAAAGAACCGTGACTTTCACTTCCAATGCCGGGCACTTGGCAAAGGAAAAGTCACTACCTATGTGTTCGTCATAGGTTTGACGCAGCGCTGAATCCGGGCCTCCCCATCACAAAGCGAAGGCCCTACATCTGGGCTATCGTGACCGGTTTGAGAGAGAGATATCAAATTAGAGAGAGAGAGAGAATCAAGTACAATTAAGTAGTTCTAATGTAGAACTAAAGTGTAGTTCTTTTTCGGAGTTCTATACAGACTTAGTCAGTCTTATGTTGTAATACGAGACCTGGTTCTATAAACGTAAACTAAGGATTGACGTAAGCCATATTGATAAAAAAATTTATCTAATCAAATTATTGATTGATTAAAATAAGAAAATATATTGACTTTATGTTTTACATATGGTTCAAATATTAAGAAATTATACTCGTTATTTGACAATTCAAAGATATACAAAATGTTGTTCTTTTTTACTGTCTTTTCTCAGATTTTGGGAACAGGGCAAGGTTTCCTGATAAAGGAAACAGCAAATATGTTGTGCCAACATTTTGAAAACCAGTGATCCATTTCCCAATTTTTTAAACTGATTTGATCTCAATATAAATTGTCCTCAAATTCTTAATAAAGTTTAGATAAACATCAATTATGTAATAAAATTAGAAACGTTTCAAGGGAATTAATAAGTTTAAAACGAAAAATCATTGTGACTTGCTCGTGAAGAAATGACGAATACCGGTACAAGAATGCATGATGCTGAGACAGCCGAATTTCCTTAAATCAAACGTTTCTTTGTTTTCTCATGCTTTATGTACATGTGCATTACTAGGCTGTGTTCGTGTTTGATGTCTGAATGGTAATCACGCGCGTTAAATATGCTTTAGTTTTTAGCTTACTTTAAAAAATCCTTTTGCAGGAAGGAACTCTCCTCTGTTAGACTGTGTTATTCATTATAATAATGAGCTCAGGGAGCGGCGCGAAGCGCCTCTTGTCGTTGCATTACAAACGAAGTCTAAGCAGTGCTGATTTTAATCAAGACAGTTTCGCAGGTATGTTAAGGCAGTAACCAGATCATATTTCGGCGAATTTAGACTTTTTTCGTAGAATGTAACATTGATAAATCGGAAAAACCATAGATAAAACATTTACTATTATTATCCATTGTATAGACGTCATTGAGTCTTAGGCTAAAAGACGGACTCCACTACGACGTCATCACGTGACGTCTATAAATAGAAAAATTGCCTTAATGAAAAAGTGAAAAGTTCAACACTACCCCGGAGATAATTCATTTCTTTTAGTGAAAATAATTATGTAAAAACATCACTGGGCCATGAAAAGTGCTGCTAGAATCCTACTCTCCTGACACAGAAAAAAATATTCCAAAGTTTTGCTTGAAACCTTACCAAAATTTTTACATTTTATACATACGATCAAGGAATTTTTATCAATTCATGTTAACCACACGATTCTAGCAGCACTTTCCAAGTACTATAGAATACAAGCTTTCGATACAAACAAAAATTATATTTCAAAGTATGCGGCGTAGTGTTGAACTTTTGCATCTTTGTTGTTATAGAACGACAGAGGAACGGCTGATCGGGATTTCAAAGCACTGACTATGTTCATTATAAGAAAACATGATAAGAATATAGCAGCGTACCTGATTCTTAATCTTTAATTCCTTATGAATAACACATAACATTCATGGTATATACCTTAAAACTCCCATTTCATATATTTGTTTACATGAATTCTCATTTCACTAGGCAAATATTTGATCAATAGTTATGACGTCATGGGTTTGGTATTTAACCCCCGTGCTAAATAATTAGCTATTTATACCACCCAAAAACGACAAGATTTAGTTTATGTTATGTTTTGAATGATTCCATTCTTTTCTTGGACCTGAAAACTTTAAAGATAGATATTAAGAAATCATTATTTCTATAGTTCACGTCATACAGCTTACTATGACGTCATATTGTGAAGGCAAGTAGGATAGATCTCTGGGTGTAGCCTTAACATACCCGCGTTAATCTACTATTTATCCTCTATATAGCCATTGAATCAATGTGATTTTATTTTTTGTTGAATATTTGTTGCTACCGCGAGAAAGTAGCTTGCAGAGAGATGCAATTCGCTAAGCATTAAGGGACCACAGGTAATTGCGGAAAAAATCATTTGTATTAATGTGCTAAGTCCGAATTTTCTCTTCGCCCAGGCGTTGCTTTAAGAGCTCGCAGCATACATATAACGTCATATGAGTCAGAGTCTAGACGTAGCAAATGTCACGTGCGGTTTGACGAACCCGATCTAAATTATAACTGAAAGGTATCTGTGATCGCCCTAACGGTTGCACCGTCAACATATTAACGAGGCCGAGTCTAATTATTTCTACCCTAGAAATTTTGATAAATTTTCTTGAATGAATTTTTACTATTATATTAATTATTTTAAGATAAAAATATCAAATACTAGTATTTGCCATCCCGATTTCTAAGAGGGTCATCTTAAAAGTTGTCAAATTTTACTATTAGACCCTATGGGAATTTGTTGGAAAAGCGCCAAATTATCACATTTCCCCATTTGTTTTGTATTTCTGCCCTACGGATTTCATTTTCAGTCAAATACATGAAAGTTATTGTAAAAAGTCACCAAATTGTGAAATGTCAAAAAAGTGGACCATCTAATTGGTCTAGGAATTATTACAACGTTTATTTTTTCCCAACGCCCAATACCTCTAAATTTACCATATTGCAGCATATATTTGGTATATATCGGAGCAGATGGATTATTTTGGTAAAAAATAAAACGTTTAGATTGCTGGTATGTTTCTTTTGATGTTCTGTCAACAGTGTTTAATAAAATGTCCATGGACGTCTTGAATACTTAGCGAGTCAAGCGTGATTCTTCAGCGTCATGCATTGCTTACAGAACCGGAAAACAGTGACGTCTTGAAAGCCATTTCAGCAATTATTCCTAAATATTGTCTTAAAGGCGCATTTTAAAACCAATAAACGTTACAGATAATGTTCATTTTGTGTTACAATTACAATACTTGGATAGGTGTGTAACGACTAAAGTCAAGTTCTTTTTTTATGGTTCTTTATTTTGAATTAAATTATCAAATTGGCATTAGCTATAAACAAGCAAAAATATATACACACATTACCAATAGAACACACAAACAAAAATAAAAGAATTAATCAGTATATGAATTTAAATTCAAACGAACACATACCACCAAAATATGGCAATGCCACACCCAGTCACTCAGTCGTACTTTTACTGCGCGTGTGGTGTCTACATTTAAATAAACAGAATTACCGGTATTTATTATATTAACGATAAAAAGATATAATAATTAGTATAATTCAAGTTTAATAAAACACAAGATTAACAAACATTCTTACCGTAACACGCATCACTCTCAAACTCAATCGAACACGTTCAGTTCATAACAGGGGCGTCAGCACAGTGAGTATTAATAGATAACTTGACAAACCAGTTTAAATCTTAGAGATTTACTCAACAAAATAATAAATTCAAATCACTGCACTGAAAATTAATTAAAAATAGATAACAACTAAATTAATATTCAAATAGAATTTTTATAAAGTTTTTAATAATATAATCTC